GACTTTCATCAGGTTTGCCAGCCTTTATAAACAACACTTTTTGCAATCATGAAGATAAATACAATCTTCTCTATCAGGATGATATTGAAAATACAAAATTCATTAAAAATTCAGTGCGTTTCAGCTGCCTGTTTCTGTCAAACATCACATTCATATTCTGTTACTATAGATACCGTAGTAATTTTCTGCATTACTTCTGTTCATCTAAATACAACTGTCCAACATAACCTCAATGGAGCAATGAAAAAGGTTTTAATTAATCATATGCAAATTGTTCTTTTCCTTTAAAAATAAGCCTCACAAGAGAGATTTAAAAACTGCAGTAACAATGTTTTTATTGCTACTTAAAAATTACAGCTGCTTAAGAATAATTTAATCTTAAAGGCATTTAATGGCTATGCCTTATCTAAACAGTCTAAATGGTAGAACAGAGAAATGCGTAATTTGGAGCTACTCTGGAAGGTTGCTAGAGTGTATTTTAGCTAATGATGGAAAAGAAACAAAAAACAACCTTTAAACACAAATGGTAAGTAAAGAAGAGGTGCAGACAGATACAATGCATTCCACTTTTGGTATATTTTGAATAAATTACAATCAAAATACCAAATCCTCTTTTCCAAACTTCAGACTGTTCCCGTTTCGAGGTAGCAGGGTTCCCCTGCACCACCTCTGGCCCCTCCTTGTTTCAGGTCCAGGGCTTATGTCACAGGCTGTAATGGTTCACTTGCTGAAAGCCAGAAATACTTTTAGAAAAGTATTTAAAATACTTGATTGGACCTTGCCCTAAAGGTCTGGGGGAGTCAGCCTGTGTCTCCTTCTCTCAGGAGTGGAAAAGCATCACTTGAGTGACCCTCAGTCAATAACTGGCACCCTTGGCAAGCAGGTCCCCACGTCCTAGGACACCAGATACAGTCCCATTGATTGCTTGTTCACAGAACTGAAGCACAGTCACCCAGAAATACAAACGTTGCCTGGCTGTACAAGAGCCCCATGCTTTCATGCAGTCTCAATAAAGCCAAATTGATCTTACCATGAAGACTGATTTGACTTCAAACCACCTCAGAATCCCTGGTAATTTATACGCCGTCACATAGATGGTTCTCTCGATCCACATATTCTGCAAACACAACAGAAACATACCGTCATCAGATTGACAGCTTTTCTCTTAAGCAAAGCCTTAAAATACCATCGACAGGAAAAGGAACCGTGGTGCGACAAGACGTTACGGAGCCTCGGGAAACTTCAAATGGAATCTGCTTGGGGAGATGACGGAGCGGCGCTGATTTCAATCTGGTGCGTGAGTCTGTGGAGAACAACGGCTCTCCCACCACAGGGGAACACCACGGAACAGAGCCACCGCTTTTACCGGTCTGCCTGTCATTTTGCCCACGTAACTTCCAGAGCTTTCAAGGACCATTCTCCACATAACCACAACATCTTGAGAGAGGAAAAGCTTCTTCCCCAGGAGGGCAGCGGAGCCGAGGGCTGGGTTCCCCGGGGAGGCTGTGCCGTCCCCGTCCTCGGAGGTTTCCAGACCCGCTGGGGGAAAGCCCCGAGCAGCCGGCTCTGACACCAGGGCAGGGGCTGGACCTGAGCCCTCCCGAAGTCCCACTCTGGACTGCAGGTCCCGACCTGGATGTGTGAAGCTGTGACTTCATTGGAGCTGCAAACAGCAATGGCTTCGTTGTGACATCTCCTCGCTGGTTTGGATTTAGGGGTACGTGATGCAGCATCTCTCCCTTCACGCGTGTGCACTTGGTTTATAACCAATGTCAAAGACATCTCTTGATCTGATTTTGCTAGAACGGGTAGTTCATCGTATTTATTATGAGGCTTTTTTAAAAAAGAATTTATTCCATCCTCTATGACCAGAAGAAGAGCTTTCAAAGCGATTTAGATATAAGTGAATTTTTTTATCTACACTCAAAACATCTTGTAACCTGTAGCATGCTCTAGCATTGTGGTTTTGGAAAAAGAGCGTTTCCTGCCTCCTCAGCTAAACCCACCTAGATTAGCAAATTGGCAATTTTTGATACAGCAGCCATCACGAGAAGCCAAAGACACTAAAGGAGTCGCTGAATGAACACCTAATCTTAGCTGTACGAAACCAAATACTCCGCATTTATTGGCACGTTGAGTAGATTAGAGCCTGCTACCACAAGGACTTTGCTGAAGAAACGATGCATTAATTTATTACTTTAATTACTACTACTACTTTACTACTAACTGCGCCCACTAGAACCCCTGTGAATCAAATGGTGTCTATAAAAAACCCCCAGGCAATCAACTTGATGTAACCTGTTGTAAACGTTTTGATGAATACAAGCTGTGCTCAAAGGGAGTTTTATTGACCATTAGATGAAACATATGGTTTAGTAAAAAAAAAAAAAAAGAAAGGTATTCCTGCAAAAAGATTTCGAGATGCATGACTGGAATCTTCATGGCAAGCCAAGTTTTGGCAAGAGACATCTATCTTTTCAGGGATATTCATTTTAAACTTAGTTAACATAGTTCTTAACAAAACCCGTTCAGCTTTGTCCATTTTTACAACTGGTATAAAACAGAACATGATCAATTGATTTAATTGAATCTCTATGAAAAACAAACACATTTAAAGCTAGAATTTATTTTTCAACAACTAAAACATTGTGAATGGTTCAGAGTCTCGAAGGGGAATAATGTTTTTATTTTTTTTACCGCAAATTCGTTGTCTGGGTTTTTCTCTCCTTTTCGAACAGGGCGCGAATACTCAAACCGCTGGACTTCATTCACCCTATAGAAACTGAAAAAAGGGAAAAGCACAATGAGTATCACATACTATCTGTTTAGGAACTGCTGCTAAACTCCAGTACCAGGAAAAAAGTTTATGCACAGGTACAAAAGGCTTATGGGATTGCTGTTTTCCAGTGGGCTGGATGGAATCCCTGCTAATACTAAAAATACCCTCACAGTTACTACCCTCCTTGGCTGCGTCCAGATTTGTTATACAACAAGAAGTAGTTTCAGTGCTACAAAGGAGACCGATACGATTGCAAACCCAACCCAAACTCACCTCACGATTTGTTCCGACACTGGCCTGTGAAACCTAGAGGGCAAATCCAGTTTGGGCTTTACAGTGAAGCACTGAATATCTGAATTCCGGAGTTAAGAACTGAAAAGCGAATTTCAATCATGCAGAACAGGCAGCTCAATGGGAACGTGAAGAAAGGACAGACCAACAAAATGAATGTATTGCACCCATGAAGGCAGGAGCGTGACAGCCTCCTGCTCGCGCCGGCCACAAACCCCGGGCGGGAGCCGCTGCGCAGCCGAAGGATACACTGGCCGGAGGAGCTCTTCATGTCCTCGCCCGGTGGAGACGTCGTTTTCATTTTTTCTGCGTTTGGAAACTGCGTCAGTAACCTTGCTTCGAAGTCTTCACGGCGTTCGTATTCCTTTCCCCGGTAAATGAAGACTTTGTTCTGGAAACAAATTGAGAGGTGAAATCCCAGTAGCAGTATCCTCAGTACCGAACTGGGATCTCGGAAGCCTTCACTCCGGTGGCGGTACGTGAGACATTTTGCTTTCCTCACACAATGATACAATCAACAGTTTACAAATATTTTATGCCAAGTAAAGCCCAAATGATTTCCTTACCTCCAGCTCAGTACGAGATCATTCAGCAGGCGCTCACCTGTACAAACCACACTAAACCCACCGGGATCCAACCCCATCATCTCAAGGGTCCGTAAATAGGTGTCTATTGCACACGTATTAAGACAAATTGTGTCCTCTATCGAATCCAAGATCTCCCTCTGTAATTCCTCTCATCCATCTTCCACAGCTAACGGTGGAATGGATGTAAACAAACAGAATTAGGCTTTTTGTACAGAAACATTTATGGAGAGGCATTGATGTGAGCACCCAAGAGCAGCAGAGCAAAGCACAAACAGAAAATGACGCCAATTTAGGAAGAAGGTCCAAAACCACTGACTCTTTTAGCAAGACTGATACACCCCAGGCTTCACATTAGTCTGTTAGATTTTTGCCGTCGTACAGTTGTCTGCACACAGCCTAACTTTTAAATTAAGTACGCTGTATTTCTAAGTACTGGTTTCCGTTTTTAACAATAAAGAAAATAAAGATTTACACAGTCCATTTGCAGACCGAAAAAGCACATTACATTCTAAAGGAAAATGTAAAAGATGACTTGCATTAACTACTCAAACATATTAAACTAAGTGTTGATCTGAATGCAATACTTGCATCTGAATACGCTTAACCTCAGGACTCATCTCACAATGAACACTTGGTGAAAAAAATATCCAGCACTTATTAGGAAAAAGGTGTTGTGACTAGGGGCAGAAAACTGGAATAATTTACATTTGCCCAGTTGGCTTTCATTTTGCAATGGTGCCTGATGAAATGCACAGTAGATGAAAGAATACTCTTTGTCTGGGGAGAACAAAAAAAGGGGAGGCAGATGCCTACAAAGTGTCTATATTGCTGTAAATCACGGCTACGTACCTGAAATTCCCGGGACAAATTACAATGGAAAAACAGCATGCATTAAGGATTTTCTCAATCAGCTTTTGAGGCAAATAACAGGCAAATTTTCAGGGTTTTTATTGCTCATTTATTACAAACTGACCAACCCATGAGGCTTTTGTCAAGTCTGATGTTTTCCAAAATGCTCC